CCCTGCAACCGACCGTCTTTACCCAGCCGGCCTACTACGATGAGATAGAGCAGGGAGATAAAGCGCAACTTTCGATCACAAACCTTGCCTCCCTAAGTCATTCAATATCTCTACCCTATTGATATATTAACAAACGTCTGGCTGACTGTTCGTCCAAACGAAATAACAGAGGCAATTCACATTTTCGTTTAATAATTGTCAAACTCGCCGTTATATTCTCCTCTTGCATTTAGGGTCATGCGAAGTTTATACTATCGACAATTATTTGTTCCTTTGAAGTGGAAACATGACAGCATCGGTAACGGGATGGGCCACGCAGACCTACCTGGACGTCAAAAAACTCCCGACTTCATTTTTCTTTAGTGGCGACCCAGCGTTTATCATGCAGTAATTACAAAGATAAAAGAAACCCGAATTAAGTCTGGTCAGTAGCCAAAAGGGCCAGCCCTGGTTAGGATTGTGCTGTCGCTCACCGTGTTCTGTCCTACCGGGTTGCGCTAGTCACCACGGTTACACTCCTCTTCTGCTTTTGTCGAGATTTACCTGTAAGATAATAGGGACAGTTTGAAACAGACGTTCCTTGCTGTAATACTTTGAACGTGCTTTGAGCTATTACAGCCCTCAAAAAATCGTCCCCTGCAAGCATATCAAATGTACTCGGCTTAAGTGGCTGCATCTACATGCGACCTTGTGCCCACTCTCAACAATGTGATACTCTAGTTGGTGGGCTAACACACTTAAATGTGTTTCTTGTTGCTTGAAAAACCCGTGTCTACGCGGAAGACGTACAAAGGGAGGATTGATGTGTCTGACCAAACACTGAGCCTAGGCTCCATCTAGAGTCACCTTTACTCTTCTCTTTTAATTAGTATTAAGTGGACTGGGAGGAGAAAATAGGGTTGCCTTTGCCCAAGTCAACTTAAATATAAGCATCTACACATGCAAGTCACCCCTGATTCTCCAGCGTAGTAATGTTACCATTACGTCCGGCAAACTAATTAGTAGACTTACGTATCCTCATATCAGGCTACTTGTCGAACTTATCGAAACTGGGCATGGAATAAGTGCGAACCAGTGTACCGTTTTTTTATAACTGGCTCTAGAATTATTTTTCTTGAATCAGAAACGACGAAGTCGGTTCAATAAATAAATGAAGATGCGGGCTTCTGAATGGCCAGTAGTGGAGGAAAGACTTTTTGCACAACAGGACGCACAAGGAATTAAACGGAAATAGGGACTTTAAACATCGGTGATTTTGAGTACAAACAAATTTTTCAGAAGTTCGAGATCGTAGAAAAAGACTGGAAGACGAGGAAGGAAGGGTAGAAAAAGATAGTACTTTGTTAGTCAGTCACAATCATGAGAAGAGTTAAACCCGTCCGTACCTATTTTGGCCCTCTACTTTGTCTCTAAAATGGTTCTGTGGCCGACCTTGGACAGCTCAGACTTCCCAACATCCCAGTTGCGGAGAATTTACTTTCTGCTTTCTGGTTTACGTTTTTCCGGAAGAAATAGAGCAAATGTAACAGAAACCAAGCGGTCTGCTTCTAACTCGATCGATGAAGCTAAACATTTTACAATAGCATGTTATCCGAAAGAACTGTTGACTGATTACCCACCTTTTCACGAACACACTCTCATTTTACAGGATTTCTGCGAAAGCCAAAATTGTAACAGAATAATTAAACAGCCGCGATTTTATGAAAACAGTTGCACTTTGGTGTACTGAATGCGATCAGGTATTTTTCGACAAGTAAACCTTTTGGAGGCGCTGTAAATGTCACGCAAAGGCTGAAGTTTCCAAATGATTTTGCTGGAAAACAAAATGAATCATTGTTGCCAAGCGTTAGTTTTGGAGAGTTGGTGAAATACAGAATGGCCCGAAGAAGTGGTATTTTTGTAGTTAACTCTTTCTTCAAAACCCGAAAACATCTCAATCATGTTGTGTTAGAAGGACTGAACTATAGAGTCCAGAATCTTATGATAAGTGACCTATTTTTTTCTAAGGAGCACAATATTCTTATTTTGAATAAACACCACAACTTAACCACTCTTCCGCATAGCCCCTGATCGTTTTGATTTAAAATGTTGAATATCTATCTAATTCCTGAACTCATTTCTATTTTAGAAAGTAAAAAACAAAAGTCCTTGCACTAGATATCTCAATTGCATTAAAAGGACGTTTTAAAGCATTTTCGCGGCAAAATCTTCGACCTCTCCTGGAAAGTAAAACTACTTTCCTACGCTTTCGTAACTGCTCAGGCGAAAGTGTACTTTATTTCGCACTCTTTGCGCTAGGTTAAAATGAAAAGGGGTAAATCCACAGTGTACTGTGGGAGCCAATGTTGTCTACGCAGGCACACAGAGCTTTCGTATAGCACAATGTCGTCCGCATTACCGTATAAAAACGCTTCCGTTAGTGGTTAGAAGTCAGAGCATGTTAGCTGATCATTATCAGTTATTGCTATGCGAACTAACCAATTTGCTGTCCATTTCAAAAAAAATCAAAAGAAATTTTTTAGACTGAAATATTTAATACAAAGAAATCATATTCAGCATGGACATCTCGCGCATAGTTTGGCTGTAAGCTTTGCCTCCTAGCTTGATCCTGTAGATACTGAAAGCAGAATCAATTTAAGTCCTGCAACTAGTAAAGCTTAATTTAAAGGTCTGATTTTTATGTCTCTTTTCTGGAAATCTTTGAGTAGTTTTAATAATAAACGGTTTCCTCTCCTACTGAAAACCTCTGTAATATTTTTAGCTCGGGTTCCACAAAGTTAGAAGGCTACTTTAAAACCGTTGAACACAGACCCAATAAAGTGACTGATGCGACTGACGGGGTCCATCACTGACCAGAGTTGTACGCACTAGGAACTTGTGCGTGAACACGCTTTAGGTAAGACAGGATTGGACCGTATCTACTTTACATTCACCTCCAACACCCATACTGTTTCAGTGGTAAAACGAAATCAAGATCAGGCCTCAATGGCGAGGCCTCATTCTCCACCTCTCTCAGGATTTCTCGTTCTCTCCCCTCGAATACACATCATCCGAGACAGATCGGGTGAGAATGTGCATGGACCACCGACAAACATGCATTGATCCCTCACCGCATACGAGCTAATAATCATCATCAAAAAGGGATCTTGCATAAGTGACTGAAACAAATGTTCATATGCGGTTGCTTGTCATTATGAGGACGACTAATTACATTGCAAAAATGTAGCCTAACTGTGTGTGTGTAATGTTAGGCAGGTTTTCTACGGGTATAGGTCTAAAACATACGATGAATCGGTAAATTCCTTATTGTGAGAAAAATTTCACTTTTGACCCTGTCGTCATGCGCTACCCGTCGTGTATTGGAAGGTCACTAACAAGCGCACTAACAGAGTCCTATTTAGTAGTCCCTATCTGACTGAAATAACTTTATCCTAACGTTGCCTTAGTGGCATTTCCACCCAGGTATGATCCGAGAACAATCCCACTGCCTGAGAAGAAGCCTGGTACATGTTGAATTAGGGATGAATTTGTGTGCAGTACGCGTAGGTGTTTGACTTTGTCAGTGACTGTGCCTGCGTCATTCTCCAGTCCTCTTAAGGAATAGACACAGCGAAAGATTGCTCCACGATTAGCAAATTAATGCGCAAGTCTCAACCCCTTTGAACACTTTGAAAGGCAACGTTTGGTCACATTCCTTGTGGAGGCTGAGATAGTATGCTTGTTTGGCTGTGTTGACACGCACTACCGGCTGCGCTGCAAATGCGTTGGACCAAAACAGGGGAACATATTGTGTCATAGCACGCGTTTATCGGGCAACACTGAGTTCATGCCATCTGATACTTACTGTCGTACATGTAGGTGGCATCCTCTGCGTCAGTCACCGCACCCAATACTATCGTCCACCGTTTGCGATTTTGGCAAATGGTAGAGGAAGAACGTGTGAGGCAAGCACCGCGGAATCCATCCTGAGACATAAAGTTGAATTTCTCACTATAATAAATCTATTGTCCTAAAGAGAAGTGACCTTGAATGCTGCCAACTGACGGAACAATCCGGTCAGGTTGCAACGACTCCATTGTGACACAAACCGATAAGAGGACCGAGTCGCCCTTATTGTCTTATCCATCATATTGGTCATTCCGTGAGCTGTGCATCCAACGTCAAAGAGGCCCGTGCCCCGCCCCTTGTTGGCTTCAGTCATTAGGGTCAGTACACCGTTGTCCATGAAATATCTCAATGAATTCTAACCATGGTTACCTGCTCTTTGTCTTATGTACGTCACATTTTGGTTCTTTTGTCATTGGCCTGGCAATTGGTCTCAATTTCAAACCGCTACACACAACAGGCGTGGAATAGAACGGTAGAGGCCAAGAGACGGAAGAAAGTGGAAGTGAACACACAGCCCTATCTCGCATCATTCTTCACGGAGAAAACTCTGGAGACTGACCCAGTGTTCGTGATACATCCCATCACGCCATTGGGCAGCTGCTCTACACTCTACGTAAATATTTTCAAACATCTAAGTTTTGGGTAATTTACCAAATTTCATCCCGGTTCACAATGTCAAAGACCTTCCTTAGATCAGGAGAGGTGGTTCAGAGGCCACAACTCGTTTAAAAACCCCTTTTCAGTTATTAGACCGCAAAAATAATGTCTGCGGTTACCTGTTGATTCCGGTGTTCACATTGTGTTTTCAGTCAAAGTAGCTCCTCCAGTGGAACAATCAACTCACTGAAGAGACCGCAGGCGACTACTTCGTTTCTATACCCGATGACTCTGTCCTCCCTTCTAAAGGTTGACAATAGTGCCGTTTTCTAAGTTTCGAGGTTTTTGACTGAGGCACGCATGTTCTGAGACCGCAAAGTCGGTTGATCGAGGACCATCGTTTTGTAGACTGTTGAAGAAACTGAGTCCGAACTTGTCCAATGGACGATCGCAACACTATCATAATAATCTGTTCCGGAGAAAAATTGACGAATGAAGTCAGCACTGATCTCAAGTTATGGAAGTTTATTGATGGCCACAGTTAAATTTCTTTCCTTCTTCTTCTTCTTCTTCTTCTTCTTCTTCTTCTTCTTCTTCTTCTTCTTCTTCTTCTTCTTCTCCTCCTCCTCAACCCCCTCCACCCTTTCATCATCATCATCATCATCATCATCATCATCATCATCATCATCATCATCATCATCATCATCATCATCATCATCATCATCATCATCATCATCATCATCATCATCATCATCACCATCATCGTCATCATCATCATCATCATCTTGAACTCTTATCTTGGATCTGCCCCGGTCCGATGCTTATCTTACTATTGAGATGCCATTAGATTGTAGTCAAAACCACTATTCAGGCTTTTTCTTACCTGTGGCGGCCTGTGGGGTTGGAGTTTAGGCTGATATTCACGAAAAAAGGTTGATGACCTGTCCAGCTATCGAAACTGCACATCGGTTTTCTCAATAGCGTGTCATGTTGATGCCCACGGTTGATAAGCACGCAGTTTAGTTGCCAGCAGCGCTAACGGGAATGCATCAACGTCATCTTCGTCCTCTAGTTCAGAAGGCCCTGGGAATTCGGATAATGAGCAGATTGTGTTCTGTATGTGCCATCATCATCATCATCATCATCATCATCATCATCATCATCATCATCATCATCATCATCATCATCATCATCATCATCATCATCATCATCATCATCATCATCATCATCATCATCATCATCATCATCATCATCATCACCCGGATCTGGAATCTGCCCCGACTTCACGCTCATATTGATGCTGAGATGCGGTTGACTTGTGCCATAGCTGGTGCTTTAGTATTTAACGTGCCAGTCGTTTTCTTACATTTGACGGCCTGTGGGGTTGGAGTTAAGGCTGATATTCACGATGATAAGTTGGTGACCTGTCCAGCCTTCGGAAACGCGTATTGCTTTTCTCGCTACCTTATCACGTTAACGCCCACTGTTGATAAGCCCGCAGTTCAGTTGCCAACGGCGCTAAAGGAAATGCATCAACGTCGTCGTCCTCTAGTTCGGAAGGTCGGGGGAATTCTAATATTGAGCCGATTGTGTCCTGCATATGCCATTATTACAATATAAGTCCGTAGCCACTGCAGCATCCCATGTAATGGTAACCCAATTATCCCTCTGGCGTACCATAATCTGCAACTGCGCGGCCATTAAAAAGTTAATTCATGTTCCGCATAGAACCGAAGAGACTGTGAAGATCCACCGGGAATTTGCTCTTCCCATCGTCATCATTTTTTCATTGGAAATGAACAACAGGTGTTGATGATTATGGCGAATTCTCCCCCGCGGTACAGAACCTGCAATATCATGATACTATCGTTGGTTCCCTGCGTGCATACAGGCAGCTGTCCCGTGATTCCACTTTCGATGGCCATGACGACTGCTATCTCACGCTATTCAGCCGACCTATCGCTGTTCTGCTGTTAGATGTCCGCCCCAGAGTTAAGTGTATCCCCCACTTATTTCAATCTCTTTCCCTTGTCCACAAAAGTAGGTTCCACTTGGAGCCTCGATGTTAGCCTTCTATCGACCCAGAACGTGAGTAAGCAGAGCTATCTTCTCGTCTTTTTGCTCTTGCTTAGTACGTCTTTTGCCGCTATTTCTCGCGTAAGCAATGAGTCCGCAAGTAGAGTTACTATGACAGGCGGGGCGGCTGGTCTAGCCAGAACACTACCGGAGCCGGTCTGGTCCATCTATCGGTTTGCATGTCGTGCCGAATGTAGAAAAGTTTTGGGAGGAAGGAATGGAAAAGAAGGAATTTACCCAGTTTGAAGATACACATTGGACACCCTCATCTGATTTAGCTCTCCAATTAAGGACCATTACTGTCTCTGATGATGGATTGGAGCGATGATCCGGAGCGATAGGCCATTTCAGACATTTTTCCATCGATCGCGTCTTCCTCCAAACTACCTCCTGGATCTCGCCTATTTGCTCCCATATAAGACTTCTGGTGCATATCGGTGGTCTCAGCAAACAGACGTTTCACAGTGTTGACTCTGACAGGCGGTGTGATATTGTTGATACTGTTGTAAAGACGATGGACAAACGGTCTCTGGGACAGTACGCGTACTAGTCTGAGTTTTCGTTCTCGTACAGGAGGCCACCGTCAGGGACTGAGAGAATGCGGCGTCAAATATCGGGGGCATGGGGTTCAGGGTGTGGTGTTCGCGAGAAGACTGAGTCCACGCCGTCTCATTATGGCTTGACTGCGTGCACCCTTGGCTGGAAATCGGGTCTCGCCTCTTGGCCGGGGGGGGGGGACGTAGCGCGGGATAGCAGGGGAGTATGTCAACGTGTCCGACACACAGGCCTCCAACAGTTCTCGCCCGGTCTTATTGCTGGCCCGCGTCACTATCAGCGTGCTCGCGAAGTTGAATTCGTGGCCTTCCTCTAGGGGGAGTGGCGACCTGAGACAACGGGTCGTCTCTACAGCCTTTGTTTATTGTTCCCAAACGTAAAATACGACATAAGAATGGTATCAGAACCGAGGAACCTAAACATGGCAGGACAAGATGTTGTACCAGATTTGTATATAAGTATGTGTGCACTTATTCATTCATGTATTTGATTTATCAGGTTTTATGGCGCGTTGGGGCGCGGGTTCCTACAACACCAGCCACCTCTTCCCCTGCGGTCTTCATGAATCTTTTTGGCATCAGATGTCGCGCAGGTCTGTCATCACTATAAACTAATTCACGCGCAAGTCACCGCCCCTGTCCGCACTTTGCTGTGGAGTACACGGTCGACATCGTCGAACTCGACGGCTGAACTGCCATTTGCCTGCATCCAACAGACAAGAACACCTTCACTGCTACAATTACGTAAACAAAACGGGGAAGAACTTATATACACCTCATGCATACTCCTTACTAGCATGTTTTCATCAACGGAAAATGAGACCCACTCCAACCCCCTTCGAAGACCGAATTGCTCGTGGTGGAAACCCGTGGTTTCAGATCTGATCACCTAACTATTGAGGAAAGGGACATAAATTCCAACATATTTTCCTTATCAGAAAGTGAGATTTACCCCACCTCCGGAGGACTGAATCGCACGTGGTGGAAATCCAGGCTTTCAAGCTCGACCTTCTAACTATTGGGTAGAAGAACATCAACTCGAGCAGAGATTTGCACAGGGGAATAAGGTAGCAGCACGCGTAACGCTTGTGTCGCATCTGCCATAAAGGATACTTTACGCGAGGGAGTTCCCTTTCGCTTTGTCGCAACAAACCCAGTGAATTAGTCATGCCTCCACTTTTGCACATCTGTATGCCTGCCTGTCGGTAGTACTGTCCGAAGTCAAAGTAGCAATCAAACAGATTGAGCACATATTACTTTTGAAATGAAACTGAGGAGAATACTGAATAAATCTCATTGGCCGAACTAACTAATAGACGTCCAGTAGATGAACTCCGTCTGGTAAGGAGAATGAAGCTGACCTGTTATGTGCTAAAGAAGTTAGAATAGGAATTCGTTTCCTCAGGTCTGGATCGTTATTTGATCGCGATGACGTGAAAGAGGTCTCTAAGAAGTGTCCATAGAGGTTTGCCGCCGAACAGACAATTAATTCACCAAAGGCAGTATGCATACGTTTCCTACGGTAAGAGTATCGAAGATCTCTTAAGTCAGTATCGATATCAGAGATAACTGAATTACGCTGTGCGCTGGTAGCGGAATTTGATTACCCCGACGGTGGGTGTTCAATGGTAAGGAGTTCCTACCTAAGTTGACTAATTCAATTCCCCCGATTTAGGATACTTTTATGGAGTTTGCAGCTGCGCAGGTTCAGACCTCAAGGAAGTTACTAACAGTAGCCTACTCAAACTTATTGCCTCACTATCCCAACGTGCATAGACTTATTTTTTGAAGGACTTTAGTTTTTCTTAAGTTTTCTTGATGTTTGGGGAATGGAATATTCCAAACGTTTTTCCCAAAGATTAAGCTACATTCACAGAAGGGCAAAGCTATGGAACTAAAAATAATTATTTACTATGTGAAACATCCGGGCAACCAATATGATCAGGTGAAGTTTGGATAACAACAGGTTTGGATTTATTGTGTGGCCTGAATGACCTCCACGGTTGAGAAGGTCTCGATGTCTAGCGAGTAATTTAGAGCTTTGTCGCTATAAGCTTACTGATAACTGCGTCTATCAGGGAGAATAAGCTAGTAAGTAGATGCATGACTGCATTATTAATTTTTATGAATATCAGGTACTTAGAATACATTTTCCAACGGCATTCACGCAAGCAAATTTCTAAGATTGCCATGACTCCGGGGGTCCAGTTTGTGGGACATATTGCGCACATGGAAGTGCTATTCATCCGTCTTCCGTATGCATTACAGATGAAACAGTTCGAATAATCCTTTTGTGATCTTACTATGTGCCCATGTGCGTAAAGCACCGAATAACTGTCGATAGGCAGAGAGATCAGATTTTTGTTAATACAATGAAGTAGTAACTAGAGCCAGAGGGACGAGTACGAGAACTACGGCAACTTCGTGACCAACTGGCAAGGAATGGATGCCCGAACAGCTTCGTAAGCCACTGCCTCCGCACGCAACCACGGCGAACAAACGGAGGAGAGCCGCCAACACTCCGGCACACTCAAACATATATAAAGAACGTGTCTGAAGCAATGGAACGTATCGCTGGAGAGCTCGGCGTGGGTATCGCTCACCGTCGGACAGCTAACATGTGCAACAAAATCCTGCGAGTGAAGGACAGACTAGACGTGGAATAACAATCGGGTATCGTTTATCAAATCTCATGTCGGGACTGCCCTCGCCACTACACAGGACAGACCAGACGACGAATTAGCTCACAAATAACGGAGCATAAACGGGCGGTCCTGAGAGGCGATCCATTGTCTCAGGTCGCCACGCACACCCTCGAGAAAGGCCACGAATTCAACTTCGTGAGCACGCGGAAAGTAGCTCGGGCCAGCAATAAGACAGGACGACAACTGTTGGAGGCATGGGTGTCTGACACCAACTCTAGCAACAGACACGCTGACATACCCCCCCTGCTATCACGCGCTCCGTTCTCGCGGCCGAGGCGAGACCTAATTTCCAGTCAAGGGTGCACGCGAGACGGCGTGGGACTCAGCTTATCGCGAATACTACCCTCCGCACTCATCTCCCCCTCCTTCATGGCTTAACTACGAAACTGCTCATTAGATGCCGCATTCTCACGGTCTCTGACGCTGGCCTCTTATACGAGACCGAAAGCTCAAACTAATACACCTACTATTCGAGAGATCGTTTGTTCATCTTCTTTACAGTATTAACTAACGCTTGCAGGACAGTGCAACTGCCCAGTTGGTAACTCATTATGGCCCGATCTAACAAGCGCTCTGTTATTAGACTCGTTGTCGTAGACTCTAAACGAGCTGATATCCAGCCGTTTTGTTCACAAATATTCAGATTTGATGCCTTTTTGCCAATACCCTCTAATGCGATCTGTCAAAGAACGTAATGAGCATTACTGGTGATTTGAGGTAATGGGGCTTCCACCGCATGGTTCTTATTTCTACCCGTGACCTATAGCAGTTTTGTCCCAGTCAAGAAAAACTAAAACTGTTGTCGATTTTCAAAGGACAGCGAACTGAAGCATGATCCATTCCCCGTTTAAGACGTTTAAATGACAGATAAGTTAGCAAAACGGATAACCAAATAATCTAAACCGAAAATATACTGCAGTGAATACCATAAATGTGTTTTTGACCAAAGTCTCGCAAA